TTTGCCATGCTGGAGCACGATGCTCCATTGAGAATTCCCATGGAATGGTAGGACGCGATAGGAGACAGTTTCTAAGGACTAAGGCTGTGAGGAGCAGACACACACAGGTTCTGTTTGCCATGGCAGTGTCACTGAGTGCGACATACTCTGTTCCTCTCCCATGAGCATGCTTGCTAACTGAGTGAATACTGTGAGGAGGAGGGTCCCTCACGGGGGTGTTGACCACACTCACCCTCTATGACACTCCAGAGCGTCTTTTAACTTGGAATCATGCAGCAGGAAAGAAACAGACCCGCCTGGCTGTGAATTCTGGTCCCGCCACTTCTGAGAGACTCAGGACACAACTCTCTTCAGTCTCAGTTTCTTCTGCTGTAAAGAGATCGATTACACAATCACGTAGCAAGTCAAAATATTGATTGTGGGGCTGGGGATTTAGCTCAGCAGCATAAACGACTGCTTTGCAAGCGCGTGGTCATGAGTTCGACCCCTGGTACCGGTAAAAAACAAAAACAAAACAACAACAAAAAACATTGATTGCAGCCTTGTAACTAGGGTAAAATTTTATAAGTAAGTTAACTAAATCATGGTAGAGTCATAGTATGGGTCAGTACACAGCCCAAAGCACTTGAGAGAAATAAATACTCTTATGGAAAGTTGTCCATGTCACATTGCACAATAACAAGCACTGTCTACAATAATATGCCACGGGTGGACATTTACTGATAGGTTTCATTTACTTTCACTATAGTTGCATTTTCTTTACTAATCCATGGAAAAGTACAGAAAGATCTTCATGGAGTTTTTAACAACTGTCTGTGACCCTGGAGAAGGGAGTGAAATCATTAGACTGATAATCTCGTTCCTTTTTTTAAAATTTTAAAGTAATGTTTTTGTAAAAAGGAGGAGGAAGAGAAATGATTAGGGTCACCTCTGCAGTGCAGGGAGCTCACGGGAACCGAGGTGTGTGAAGCTTGAGGACACGGCCAGTGTGTGTGGCACTCAGCCGTGGGTCACACACGGAGCAGATCCTTCACCGAAGGGTCCAGGACTCCTTTCTCCTCCAGTCATCTGTTCCTCACACCCTTCCTGGGCAGCTCTCAGCCCAGTCCAGTTTCCCCACTGCATTGCTGAGGTCACCAGGGAGGATATGACACCGCTTGGGGGAATGGGGAGTAGCTTCTGCTTTTGGGTCTGAGCCCCTGTCCTCCATGACCTGAGCAGGACACAGGAGACAGCGCTGATGTGGAGATGGCGCTTGCTTTGCTGTCCTGCTTCCTGGGCTGTCTGCAGGATGTTGCTCTGCATCTGGTGCAGGCTGATTCCCTCCAAGGCCTTTCTCCATGGCTCTGCTCCGGGGGAGTTTTTAGCTGGGCCTGGGGGATCCATGTTGGTACCCTAGAGAATCCGTGCAGATGGAGGTGGAGACCATGGTGCTGGCTGTTATTATGTTACTGAGTACATTTATGTTTTCTAGAAACAAGAATAATTTTCCTGTTACTTTCATTAAAAAATTTTAGTTCTTATTTTTTGTTATGATTCCCTTGTTACCCTTCAGTTTGAAAAAAATATTTTTATGTCCTATTATCTTGTTATCCCTATAAAATGTGTATTTGAGTCCAGATTATATTGCATTGTTACTTTAAGTATAAATAACAAGCCTTTCTGCAAAAATTGTGTACATCAAACCTCATTTTAAGGGATTTATATCCCTGGTACAATCTGAGAGACTCTGCTTTTTGCATTTATTTTATAAAATCATGTTATTAATTTATTTAAAGAAAATACTTACTTTGAATTTCTTCCTTTTTGTGTACTTTAAAAATCAGCTCCACATAAAGATAAGGATTATTTCGTTTACACTGTAAGACTGGAGAAGATTTCAAATAATCTGTGGGAAGCGAAATTTTGTGATGTGTTTGCTTCTAAAGCTGCTAAGATTAATTCTCTTTCAGGTAGTCTGAGAGGAGAAAGCTGAATTTAGTGGGTTTCTGAGGTTTCATTATTTAAGAATTATGTGAAGGTAGCAATTGTGAAAAGGTTAAATGTTATTAACTCCTAGTAGAAGAAATCTCAGCTTGCTTAGGCTGAAACACAGCAATTCATTATCTCTTCACAACAATGCTGTGGTGGTCAAGACTACTGTTATGTGATTCCTGTCATCTGTGTTATATTCTATTGTCCTTATAGTCCTATATGTCTACTGTGGCTCTGTATACCATGTTTCCTTTCAGAGCATGAGAGAAAGGACTAGGAGGGCCAGGAGGCAACCACGTATACATCTTTGTTCTCTAGACAGTCAGTGTGGGTGAAAATAGGCTTTCCCTCAAACCCCACAAAGCTTATACTGCAATGGCATTGACTCCCTTTGTAGCAGGGAGCAGGAGAAATCTCTTTCTTGACCCCAGGGTGCCTGTGACAGAGTCCATGGGTCCTAGAACCGCCCGTTTAGCACTGCACTTGTCTGCTGCTTGACTCCAGGAGGCCATGGAGATTAGTGTTTGGAGCTGGGACACATGCAGGGACGTTAAGGACGCTGGCCAAGCTGCAGGCAGTGGAGAAGTGGAGCTGAGCAGAAGTCCCGATCTCACAGAGGAGGAATACAGAGAGCGTTCTGCAGGGTTCACTATGGCTTCTTCAGGACTCAGTTCATTGTCCTGAGGTGTAAAATTGCTCAGAAATTCACTCTTCCTGCATTTTCCCCCTGTGTTTGTCATTTTGCTGCCACTCGGAGTAATCTCACTCTGAGATTACTACTTTAAATAGTTTGATGCTGGGCGATAGATCTGTTTCAAATGGGAAGACAATTCAGAGGTGGAGCAGCGTGGAGGAAGTATGGGGAAAGGGAATGAAGAAGGCAAGGAGGATGTGCTACTTCCATGCACCAACTCCAAAGAGGAATGGGACAGTATGGACTGCAAACAGGTACTAATCAGGAAAATTTGATACTGCACAGTGTGCAAGAATGGCTCCCTCACAATCAGTGTCACTGCAGATACCAGCTTGGGCCCTGGTGTGCAGCGTGAAAATAACTAGCCTGCAAGAACTGGCACATAATTGAGCACAGATCCTCCTGCTAAGAAACCCCAAAGCCCTCCCATATCATGCTGGGGAACACGGGGAAGAAGTCCTCTCACAAAATCCCTGCAGCCTGCTAAACCCCCAACCGTTCCTAATGATTGCATGTCCAGTCCTGCAAGGCTCAGAAGTCAGCCTAGTCCAGGCAGGACAGCTTTTTAAATCAGAGAGCAAGGACATACAGTGGAAGGAGTGGAGAAAGGGAAGTTGAGGGAACAGTGGGGTCAGTGGAACAGGCATCCCCCCTGCTGCACCCTCTCCCTCCCCACCCAGACCTGGACCAGGGCCCTCAGCTTGGCTCCTGGTTCCAATATGGCACCAGGACCAGGCAGATTTCTCCAAGCCACTCTGCCATGTCCTCCAGAGCTTCTGGTGGGCACAGATGAATTCCCTCTGTGACTGCTCAGTTTTCTGCCAAGCTGCATGTTAGTGGAGGTGCACTTTATTCTCAGAATTTAGTTTCTATTGTTACACCCCTCCTCCCATGCCTCTAGTGACTCCACACATACTTCACCCAGGCTTCATGGTCAGGGTGCAGGAAAACACTGTTGACAGCCCAGCTCCACCTCCACCAGATGTTGTTCCTGAATGTGATGACTGTTCACCTCCACCCCTGCCCCTCTCCCAGGAGACTATAAGATGAACAAGCCTGATTATTATTATTATAATCCCTATAATAATAATCCCTATGCAGATGGGGAGCCTGCCTGGGCCCCCAAGAATTATACTGAGAAAGTTGTTGCAATATATGATCATACAAAAGACAAGGCTCATGAGGTGTCATTTATGGAGGGTGCAATCACTGATGTTAGAAATAAGAACCACTATGGTTGCCATGAAGCGATCGGCAGTCCAGTACTGGTCACTTCCTGGGAACTGCGTTGAGTCAGGCACGCACTATGCTGATTAATTTTTTTAGTTTTTAGTTTTGAAGTAGATTCTTATAATTCAGTCATACTGTAGGACTATTATGTTTAACAGAGTTGTCTTCATGCTTTAAAATGTGCCCACATTTTCAGGCCACATTGTCTATTTGTATCTGAATGTCTACCTGTTAGCATAAATCTTTGTGACAGTTTGTATTTTGCACAACAGCAATTTATGCATCGGGCTGCATATAAATGATCATGCTTAAGTACTTAAACATTGTTAATTTTATGAGTAGCCTAAGTATTCTGGGGAAGTGGGGTACATTAAACCAGCTATGACTGAGACTGTACATTACACATTTCAGTGCAGCGTGGTTACGAAGGCTATGTCAGACTAATATTAAAATCAGAAAATGTAAATGTGGGTACTGGTCATACTTTTTATTTAGAGTCTCTCATTTTTAGAAATTGTTTAAAGCGTGCAAAATTTTATGTATTGAAATATACTTAGGAATTCCAAGATGCTTCCAATTTGTATACAACTCCTGGAGTACTCATAGGAGAGATGCTAAAGTCTTCATGTGAAGGAAAGGAACAGAATTATCTGTAATGCCATAATTTGTAACCAAGTTTTTAATGAGCAAATGTGAATTAGAAAGTTTTCCAGTCATCAATACAAAAATAAAAAAGAAACAATGAGTTAGACATTAGTCAGCCTTGTCAGGGTAGTCACAGAGCGAGTCCATGACTCAGAGGAAAAAGGAACAGGCATGGGAATGCAGTTCAGCATGAAGGTCCTGGGCTCATGACCTCCTCACTGTGACCTAGAACTCCTGTCCCACATGTGTGAAGCCCTGGCTTCAGTTCTCAGCATGCACATCGAGACACGCAAAAAGAGTTGATTTATTTAATATGTTTTCATGAACATCTTATGAACATCAGATGTTATTGATAATTCAGTATCATATTTGGTGTCACAAACATCTGTCACATGCTCTGAAACTGAGGAATACCAGGGTTCCATTGTTTTCTGAGTGAACCTTGTGGATGGAGAAATCATGCTGAGAAACACTTGGTTCCCATGTGTCTCATGGCTGCGATCACATCTTGGTTTCTCAGGCTGTAGATGAGAGGGTTTAACATGGGAATCATAATTCCATAGAACAAAGAAGCCACTTTTTCCTGCTCTTGGGACCTATTGGTCTCATGGAATACATATATGTAAGCCAGAGTCCCAATGAAGATGGTGACCGTCGTCAAGTGTGAGGTGCATGTGGAGAAGGCTTTTCTCCTTCCTGCGGCCGAAGACATCCTGAGGATGGCAGCCAGGATCCACATGTAGGAAAACATGACGACAGACACAATGAGTGTCAAGTTTAATCCTACAAAGACAGTCAGGACCATAATACTGAAGTCAATGCTGGAGCATGATAGAGCAAGAATCGGAGGTATATCACAGAAAAAGTGATTAATTACATTGGATTTGCAAAAGTCCAAGGAGAAAGTCAGACCTGCATTTACAGAAGCATTTAGGAAGCCCATGAAGTATGAACCAAGCAGCAGCTGAATGCAGACTCTATGGGACATGATTACTGGGTAGCGCAGAGGTTTGCAGATGGCCACATAGCGGTCCACAGCCATGGGTGCCAGGATGAAGCTGTCACTGGTAATGAAAATCCCGTAGGCCAATAACTGCACCAAGCATCCAGTGAAGGAGATGGACTGGTCCCTGCTCACGAAGTTCTGCAGCATCTTGGGAGTGATGGCAGAGGAGTAACAGAGGTCCACGAAAGCCAGGTGTTGGAGGAAAAAGTACATAGGCGTGTGAAGGGCGGGGTCAGCCTTGATGAGCAGGATCATCCCAGCTTTGCCCACCAGGGTGGCCACGTAGATGATGAGAAAGGCTGTGAAGAGGATGTGCCAGGACCTGTGCTGACCAGCAAGTCCCAGGAGGATGAATTCAGTCACTCCACTGCCATTATTTTGTTCCATGCTTAGCATAAAATAAATACAGAAATAAATTTCTTTTTAATTTTTTATTTTAAAGAGGATAAAGTTAAACAGAAAAGAAAATACCTAAATGGAAAAAAACATATCATAAGAAAACAATTTAAGAAACACAGATTTTAAAGCAAGACCACCAGAGATCTTCACTGTCTATCATATTGTCTATTGTTTTCTTCCAAATAGTTGTCCATATCTTCACACACAGTGAATACATACTGAACAAAATAGTACTAAATTGATCACAACAGGATGATGAAGGCATTTTAGGTCTTTAAGACCAGACAATAGAGAAGTCAACAATGGCTTCCATAATGTCTCTTGTTCTCTTTGAAATAGCTGTCCATATCTTTACATATGTTGAAATTAAACAAAAGAAAATAGACCAGTATCACTCTGGACAGAAAGAATAGCATTGCTAGATTTTATATCATAATACTACAGAATTAGCCCTGGGGATCTTAGTGTCTCTTTTTCTTCAGAGTATCTGTTCATTACATAGTGCATTATATAATCTATTCTTGTAAACTCTTTAGAAGTTCTACACATGCATGAATCTCTACATGCGTACCTATGCTTTCTGTATTATAAAGAAAAACAGATCAAAACAAGACAACAAAACAAATTTCTAGAAAAACATGAAATGAAAAAGACAGATAAAACCACAATACTAGGTGATCTACAGTGGTTACTATGCTGTCTCTTGTTGTTTTCAATAGACTTGTCTACATCATCAGGCATAATATAATTACCATACCGCTACAGAACAATATTAATAAAAACACAACATTTCAGACATTGTAGGACTTCAAAAGCAGTTAATAATCAAACCAGAATGGGTATCCTATTGTATCTGGTCATCTTCAGAGTAGTTGTCTCTACTCTTAGACTTGTTACTATCATGTGTACCAAATGCAAATAAAATCAGTCAGAACAAAATTGTGATCTAACAAACCAGATTCAAACAAGATCAGTCATAGTAAGACAGTGTAACTAATACAAGGCTTCAGTGTAAGTTAATAGGAAATTAAGGATAGTTACCATAGTACATCCTGCTGTTTTGAGGATAGCTGTCTGTGCCCTCAAATCTAATGTGAGTAGACAGATTGGAACAGAATGAACTCAAACTAAACAGAGTGATAAGACTAATGTGGCTTGTAAATCCTCATACACTATTAACAATGTCCTCTGCCTTTCTTTTGTAGACAATTACTTCCCTTTCCCTTTCTTAGGGTACTTTGTACATTTTGGGTCCCATCAATTACCCCAGTTTTTACATTAGGGGGGACAACCTAGTATCTACCCAAGTGGTGCTGAACCTTTTCACCTCTGGCTTGATCTTGAGCTGTGTTCCTTTACCTACTAAAGCCTGAAGGTTTTCCCTCATATCTGAGTAGTTCTCCACTGCACAAAAGTGTCATGAGTTTCCAACCTATATACTGCTGGATGAATTGTCCCTATTTCTCTCTGGTTCCCTGTCACATAAAACATTGTTTTCTCTTCTTTGACTTTTGGTTCTTTAATCCTCTTTCAGGTTGATTATATTTTCTATTCAGAGCATCTAAATGGACCCTATTTCCTGATCTTCTGTTCCTGTGCTTCTTTTAGTTAGTGTGTCAAGGCCATCTGTATTAGAGATTATAGCCAACCTTGTCTGCCTCGTCTCTGCTATGCTATTTTTCTGTTGTTGTCTACTTTTCTCCTTCATTCCACTGTCTGTCCCATTCATCGAGGCCTCTCTGTCACTGTTGCTGGAATCCTGGCATTTTTTTTCTCTCTCTCTAGAATGTCCCTTAGTATTCTTTGTAGGGTTGGATTGGTGATCATGAACTCCCACAGTTCCTCTTTGTCATGGAAACATCTTGTTTTTCCATTAATTTCTAGAGACTGTTTTTCAGGGTACACCAGTCTGGGTTGCAGGTTATTTTCTTTCAGGGCTTGGAATACTTTGCTCCAAGCTCTTCTTGATCTTGATCGTTTGTGTGGAGAAGTCTGTCATGATTTTGATGGGTTTTCCTTTATAGGTGATCTGTTTCTTTTCTCTGACCACTTTTAATATTCTGTTCTGGTAATGAATTTCTGGGATCTTGATTATTATATGTCTGTGTATAGATCCCTTTTGGTTGTAGCTGGCTGGAATTCTGTTTGCCTCATTTATCTGGATATCATTTTCTTTTCCTATGCTTGGGAAGTTTTCCTTAATTATTCCTGTGAATAGTGTTTGTAATTCATTTGTGTTTACTTCTGCTTCTTCACTCATGATTTTTATTCTTAAGATATAGATCCTTTTGTCATCTTCTAGCCTTTATTGTTACTTCCTGGTTCCTTGTTATTTTTAAGAGATCTTTTCTTTCACGATCACACATTGCAAATCGATCTTCAAGTTTTGAAAGTCTAACTTTAGTTTCTTTCAAGGAATTTTGCCAGCTTTCAGTGGAGTTTTTAATTTCCTGATAATCTCTTTGGATCTGTTTCATGTATTCTAGATTTTGTTTATATTATTTATCAAAGGTTTCTCTCCTTTTTCTAGGTTCCTCTATTCATCTGTCTGTGTGTTCTTGAGAGGTGCTTAGCATTCCTTTTATTAATCTTTTTATATCTTGCCTCACTTGAAAGAGAATTTGAGTTTTAAGTTCATCTGTGAGGTCATGGAAGTATTTCTTTATTTATGCTGATGCTGTGGCTGATATTGCATGATTGTTGCCCTTGATCTTTTCTGTATTTACCTCTCCTGGACTGATTTTCCCTGGGTCAGTGGGTGGAGGCTTTTTCTTATTCCTTTCTCTTGTCATGTTTCTGGTTTCTTTCAGACAGGTGTAAGGTGAAGGTCTCAGGCCCTTTCCATATTAGTTACCATTTCTCTGAAGCTTGCTGGCTAGAGGATTGCTGCCCTCTCCAGTTTACTGTTCATCTGTGAGGTGCATGCAGGGACGATATGGGCTGGCCTCTCTCCTCTAAGCCAGTCAACCAGGGAGTGCCTTCAACACGTCAGTCTGTGCCATGCAGAAGTCACAGGTTTGGGACAGTTTCATGCCTTGCTATTGGGTCCCAACCAGGGGCATGACCCAGGCCGAGCAGATCCCACCAGTCCTCTTTGTGCCTGGGGTAGGCTTACCGATGCCAGTATATGAAGCTCCAGGTTCAGGCCTGTCCTGCCCAACTCAAACTTGTTGTCCAGCCAGGGATCCCCTTCATGGGACCCAATTCCTAGCACTCACCACAGATTAATGCAGCTTTCCACATTGGTTCCACTCTCTGTTTGAGGCAGCATCCTCTCACCAAGGACCATGGGCTCACCAACCCCTGATTTCAGTGACTACAACATCTGTGCTACTGTGAGTCGTCCAACTCCAAGGCATGCCTGGCACAGAGTGGGACTGACTCCATCGAGCCTTTCCTCCATGTTTTCCTTCCTTTCTTTTTCTTTTTCGTCAGTTTCTTCCTGGGTCGTGAGAATCCCTCTCCTTGCTTCTGATCTTCTCCATGGTGTTAAATTCTAGTGTCTGTGTTGTTTTTCTCAGAGAGGCTTCTACCCTGCTACCTATCAAGCTACCCTCTTCAATGGAGAAATAAATAAATGTCATAAATACATTAAGTGCAGCATGTTAAATACATTTACATTTATGTAGGTTGCTTCTCTTTTGCTTTACGTAACTAAATTGCATGACTAGCTCCCCAAATAGAAGCTCTTCTGTCTGAGAACCTTTTCCTACACACCGATTTGCACGTGGTCTAGCGCTAACTTACCTTCACGTGGTCTTGGGCCTCCCTTCTGTGCAGACTCTGCTGCGCCTCTCATGCTCCTTGGCAGTCTTCATTAGCAGCATTTATCTAAGCAGTGAGGGCAATTGGTCCTTTTCTTATGAAACCAATGTTTTTCAGACCAGAATTCGATGAAGGCGTAACTGTCCAGCATTGCCACAGTTACTTAATCGTCATGAATGTGCAGTTCTGCCTCCTCTACATACATGTCCTGAGTGTAGGAGCTGCCCAGGGGCTGCCTGTCTGTCCTTTGCCCAGGCTTGGCTGCTGTGCTCTAGATGCTGCCCATCCCATCTTCTGTCATTGCTTTCTTATATAATGGTGATGAAGATGGCTTAGAATTTGTCTCCACTGCAAGCAACTCAGTGTGAAGCTTTGTCTGTAAAATGGATGCTGGGGATTTAGCTCAGTGCCATAAGCACCTGCCTGCCAAGTCGAGGTCATGAGTTCGATCCCTTGTACAGAAAAAAAAGTCCTACAACCAGAAATGTTGACTTCAGGGGATGCTACCCACACTTGATTTGACCCAGGCTGGCCAGTTTGCTCTCTCTAATGGGTGGAGCAGTGCACACAGCTACAAACATGCATCCTTGAAGATCTGGACCATCTTCAAATGTATTTCCCCCAAGAACATGAAGATGAATGTTCAGTCATGTCTTTATTTTCTATACACAAAATAATTTCCTCTCTATCTAATACACTTGTTTGAATTTTCATATTCTAGTCATCAGTAAGTTACCTCTTTGTAATTTGCAATAATTCTAGTGAGTTGATTTTTGGGTGCTTTTTATCCTGTTTTTGAATTTTTGCTAGTAGTTGATTGACCAAGTTCTCCTCACATCATTTTGAGTTCAATTTGTCTGGTTTTTCCTTTGTAGGCCAAGGTTATCAAATCTGAAAGAATAATTGATTGTTTTGTGTTATGTACTTTGTTTTCAAAATTCTTAATGAAATCTGTCCTTGTTTCAAAGTCTTTATTTTAGTAAAATAGATTATAAAACTTATTTTTGATGTAATATTGGCACATGATGTTTGTGAAATCATGATACTTTGTACTATAGATATGATTCAAAACATGTTATTTATGTTCTCAATATATTTTAAAAGAATGTTGACAAAACAGATACAGAAATGTGCATGTTTGTTTATGTTTGCTCATGTGAATACTCATATAAAGTATTTAAAACTTTTTAAAATATTAAAAAGTTTGATACTTATTTTAAAAC